TAACGACTGAACAAACATGCTGTTTCAGCCATCTGATAGCAAAACAAAATAAAGCAACTTGAACTGGGAAGTTTGATAGGCGATTCAAAAATCCGATGTGCAAATCCCCTATTATTTTCTGAATAACCACAGCTACCTAGAAACTACAGCTATTTGAAGCAGGCTATTTTTGGAAATATCCATTAATTTCCCAAGCAAATCTTGTAGTAAGTGCACATGTCTAGCATGAATATCCTTCTCTTGCTTTTACTTTTTAAAAAAAAAATATTGTTTCATTATATCATTATAAAACACAAGTAGTACATTATATTGTTTGGGTACAGTTGTATTTATACAGTGTTGATTAGAAAATATTAACACTTGGATGCTTTAGGTAACTTAAACCTTTAAAGATAAAGAAGAAAAGGAGTTATGAACTCTGATTTCTAAAATGTTAATGTTGATAAGCATAAAGTTGCTTAAATTTTACATCTAGAGCTGAGTGTAGCATTTGCTTTATACTAGGAAAGCACCTTATTTCAGTAAACACAAGCAGCATATCCAAATTCAGAAGTTTATAAAAAGGGAAAGCCTTTGTGTTAAGTAAACAGTTGATCTCAACTCTTTTAAAAAGCCATTTTAACAACAGCTACCTATCCTTCAGGTTTTAATGGTCTGTTTCCCAAGCATTCATTTCTCTGATTATTTAAATGCAAGATTTCAGTACTTACAATTCAACTCATCAGATCCATCAATACAATCAATGCTACCATCACAGACTTGTCCTTCTACAATACAGTAGCTGTTATCCAAGCAGGCTTGAAATGGCTCTGAGCATTTTATGGCTTTGATACACACAGTATCACGTTCTAAAATATACCCAGTGGTGCACCGGCAGCTTCGTCCTTGCGGAATTGGTAAACAGATCTGACTACATCCCCCATTCTTTTCTGAACAACCATTTCTACCTAGAAACCAGAAGACAAAAATTAATTGCTTCAGTTCTATCTCCCATGCATAATATGATGGATTAAGGAAGCATCTACTTGTCAACCTGGCTGGGATGCTGTATTTCTGGCACCATCTCACCAATTTCAACAACTAGAATAAGTCAATATAAGATAGGCACTCACCATTTTTCCAGAAGGTCTCACTTAGCCTGTGCTTAGAGGGGAAGAGACGTTCTCAATAAAAACAGTGGCTGACATGTCCTTGTCCAGGATAGATGCTTAGAGAACATCCCACTTTTGGCATGCTTAAAGCTTGTACTATGTGTTATACCAAAAGGGTACCAATGAATCATGTTATTGTTCAGTATAGTCCAGGCATCCCCCTATGACCCCTCACAGCTATAATGAACTTTACCTTGTTGGTTTAGTTTGCTGTAGGTCTTTATATCCACAAGTTTCTGATTTATTTGAAACCACCAGTTTTCTGCCACTTCCAGCTGACTATGCCACACCTTTGTTGCACCTGTTAGGAATAAAGTTAAGCAGACTTGGAGAAAATCTTTTACTACTACACAGGAAATCACCACTAATTTACAAGATACTACATAACACTAGAATTCTCAATTTTGCCAGTGACTAGAACCTGTTAATTACTGATTCAGCTGGAACACAATATACAATAAAATATAATAGTCTAATAATTAGACTAAGCACGGCATGAACTCTTGCCAATAATGTATTAATACAGGTTGAAGGCAGGTTCTGAATCTGAACTTACAAAATATTTGTAGTGCAAGTATTGACTTAAAAACTTGACATCTGGTTCCCTTAATTGTATGGTATGTCACTGTTCAGAGTCAGGGTAGATGACACAAGTGACACACCATTTAATATATTATGATCTGTGACACAGAGCTTCCCTTTTCCTTCAGAATATCCCATAAGAGTTGTGTAGCTCAAGCCTGCTTACGGTTGTGTGCTGCTGTTGTCCAGAATATCATTCCATCCCCAACTGTGAAGAGCATAAGGCCATGCAGTCCTCTCTGAACAAGTCTGTACTGGGAACCATCTAGACAAATGCTTTCCACGGTACCTTTTGCTACAGGAAAAAAGAAACCCTATTGTTTCTTAGCACTAAGAGTAAAAATATTGGTGAGATTCATCCCATGTGGCATGTCTCTATTACATGGTTTTACATATTGTCCATTTCATTGGGACTCTAGGAGGTTCATAAAATGGAAAAAATACAAACAGTAAAAACAGGAGCAAACAACAACTTTCTATCTAATAAGCAGCCTGCACATCATTAATCCTTGACCATTTGATGGAATAGCCCACTCTTAAGCAATCTGCAAAACGTGAAGAGGCTCGGGAGACAAGATGTCTCAGAACATGGGTACAACTACAGAGAATATTGGGGTCTCACAGATCCTCAGGGAAATTCTTCCTGGCCAATTTCTTGTAGGTCTTCTCTCAACTTTGTATGATCTGTCAGGGTATAAGTTGTTGTGTAAACCAGGAGTAAAATTAGAGGGGGAAAGGCAATTTAATTAGACAGTTTTTCATTTCATTACTGATTTTATATGTCTATCACTGCTAAGCACCAGTACCTAGATTAACACAAAGGGCATTTGGTGTTTACTCCACCGTGCTTATGAGTATTAGCAAAATACTTCTTTAATGTTTTATTCTGAAGTCAATCCAAGTTCAGAATATGATGGGTCTAAAGTTCTGGAGATTAACCTACAACAGTAATTATAGTGGCTTAACTATTGCAATGGCAAGTTGTATAATAGGTTAAATTGCCACACTGTCTGGTTGCTCATTTGCCAGAATGGGCAGACTATTGTTTGGGGAGGGCAGAAATGGATGGCATCACCCTCTATTAATCCCACACTCACCTTCAAAGCAAGCTCAGGGTACATTTCTGTGTTCCCCAATTCCAAAGTATACTTTCCCCTCTTCCGTAGAGTGCTCTTGTCTTTTTGGACTACAGCACTTCAGTTGGTTGTAGGCTAATCTCAGTAGTTCATTGGCTACTTTGCAGAGGAAGGACCACCCCTTCAACTGAGCCAATGGTTACAATGGTTTTATACTGCCTTTTTTCAGTGTTGCTGAAAAAACCTAGTGGCTAATATTTTTGCTTAGCACAGAGAAGGTTGCCAGTTCAAAACCTAATAGAATTTTAAAACAAGTTCCAGGTTTTTCAAAAATAAATCTAGGGACTTACCATTTTATCAGCCATCACAAGTTTTTGGCGCTAGCATTTAAGGCCCTGGGGTTTGCCTTTCCTCACTACCTGTCCCAGCTCCTGTTGTGGTATGATCCTATTTATACAACACAATCAGCAGGACAGGGACTTATTTCCATTCCCTTTATGTGTGCTGCTTCTCATTTGCATGCATTTCAGTTATGGAGTTCTCTTCCTACCTACTGTGGCTGCACATATTTTCGGATGCATTTAAGAAGGATTTCAAAACCTATTCAGGCAGATATGGCTATCTGACTATAAATCTTATTAATAAGTTAGATGGCTAGTAGATTTAGGATTTTATAATTGTATAGTTTTATTTTCATTGTGATTGTAACTATACTACATATTGATCTTATTCTATTTATGTAACTTTAATTGCTGTTTTTTTGTTGTGGTTGGATCATGTTCTGATGGGGCACATATTAGAATTTTTGTAGAAGGGTTCCCCCCTCCCTCCAGTTCCTAGATATCCCATTGGGAACTTAATAAAACAAAAGCAGGGGGCAAAGTAGCTACTCATGAAAAGAAAAATCATAATTTAAAAAAAAAGTTTAAAAAATCATAATTTTCTGTTGGGTTTTGAACTGGCAACCTTCTTTATATTAAGCAAAGGTCTTAATCACTATGCTATTTCTGCAGTGCTGATAAAAGAAGGTATAGAAACATTAGAATACCTGTTGTTTATTAAGCTGATTACAACACAAAGTGCCTGTATTGTTTTTAGAAGATGACCTTGAGAAATATTATAACAATATGGAGGCATGGCTCCTAGAGTAATTAGTTGGAATGTAAATGAATTCAGGTTAAAAAAGGAGCTTAACTTTTTGTATTTATGTATGTGTCCATGTCTGTTTACATACACACAATACACATATATCTACCTATACATGGACACATAAAAGTATACATATCCAGGAAGATCTGACCACTTGGCAATTGCTTTTTGGGAATAGCAGAACCAGGGTGGGTATAGGAGCAAGGGAAATGTCCAATGGGAGGTTGTCATAGCTTATAATCTGAACTGAATAGCTTGTAATCTATCGTCTCAGTCTGGACAAGTTTTTCTTAATCCAGTTTAGAGTCAAGCCAGTGCAAGCACAAGTGAGGAGCAGTTTAAACAGTAAGTATAGATATGCCCACAGATTTTTCAAGCATGAGAACGGGATAGATGGGATAGATTTTGAACTTCCATGTAAAGTAAACTGATAGTATCTAAAAGCAAGCTAGATTATTGGTTTATAAGAAAACAAAGTAGATGGGAAAGCAAAGTTAAATTGGAATGCTTTATAGCAAATAAAGAATAAGAGCTATATAGGTACAAGCTGGCTGGGTTATTAGTAGCTCTCACAAGTTCTGTAAAAGCAAAGAGAGCTGCAGTGTAAGATCCACAATACAGTTGCAAAACTTGATTTTCCTTTTAGGCAACAAGATGAATGGGAAAACTTAGGTGCCTGAATTTGGAAAGAGGCCTAAATTCTGCTTCCCTCCTATTCCTGGCAAATTTGATGAATCTTAGCAGATGACTAACAAAAGGAAATTATTTAAAATACATTTGTTCTAATTTGCATTGATTCAAAAATCCTAATGTGAAGCAGAAATGTAATAGTAGTTCAATCAGAACATGTGCTAGTCTAGAGATTTCCTGGGAAGAAATGGCGAACTGAAGATGACTCCACAAAAAGTGGAGCTGATGACTGCAGCAGAATGAAGAGTTGGCAAGTAGAGTGTCCCTTCAATAATTTCTCTCCAGACAAGAGGACTTGAGATCACCCACAAGTGCTCCAGACAGCTGCTCCTCATGAGGAGACTGCAAGACAATGATCTCCAATGGGTTTAGAGCTCTGGGAGATGAGGGAATAGATATTTTGCTCAAACTGCAGTCAGCGCCTTTGAAAGGACACTAAGTTTGCATACTTCATTTCTAATCACTTTCAGAAATTGCTTGTTAACTGCTTTTCAGCATTTAGGAACTTTTTGATCAACAAGTTTTACAGCAGTGAGTAAATTTCCTTCAATCCTTAGCAAAATATGTTTTAATTACAAGTTTAAGAACTTGTTTAAAAAATTTTTTGGAATAAACAGCGAAAGAGTCATTAAAATTTTGATTTTAGAAAGTTACAAATGGACTAAGGGTCCAGATAAATTTGAAATAAGATTTGGAATTAATAAAGTCCTGTGAAACAATGCTTTTATTTTGAATTCTTTTAAAAAAAAAAAGGATGGGACTTTGAAGGTTGGATACCAGAGGCAACTAGAAGGAACTAAACTACAATTAAAGAAGAATGCTTAAATTTGATTTACAATTACAGAATGAAGCAAAATATTTTAACATTGGACATACTGAAGAATATTTTTGAACAATGGATCCAGAAGTTAATTTTAATAGCATCCATTTCTATAAATAGATTGTGTCTAAAACATGTTATGGAAGAGAAACAAGTTCTACCTGACAAAATTGAGACTGAGTTGAAAGTGGATTTAAAAATGACAGGCTACAAGAACAACATGGAAAAAGATACTACACTGGACATAGAAAAGAAACCGGCTGATGTCTTAATAATTAAAAGGGATATACAAATGACAAACCAAGAGAGTGACCTGGATAATTATCCAATATTGGATTTATAAAAGAGGCCTGTAAAGTTTTGAAGAATTTTGTGAGACGGGACAAAGAAAAAATGAAAAGAAATCAAGTTCTACAACATTATTTGAAGGGACTAAAGATCAAGATTGTTAGAAGTAAAAAAAAAAAAAGGAATATATAGTTGGTTTATTTGATCAAGGCTAAAATAGAAATGACATCGGGACTGAATTTGCTGACATAGGAATGAAATGACAAAATTTTATGGATTTGTTTATAGCTAAGAGATGGGAAGAAGAGATCATTTGCTGAATTTTAAGAGTAAAAATTGTTTATACTTGCGATGAAGATGGGAAGTCACTTCTTTATATATTTCTTTTCTTTTTCTTTACTATATTCTTATTTTTTCTTTCATTTCTATTTTTCTATTTTTTCTTTTCTGTACCTTCTACTTTTTTTTATTGTTTTAGTTTTTTTCAGTTTGTATTAGTTTTTACTGTTGTAATTATAATTCTTAATACAATTACTATAGAAAAAGAACATGTGCTAGACTAGGAACATGGCCAACTCTTTCATATGCTAGGAAAGGTAAGCTGAACCCAAAGAATTTGATCAACACATGTTAAACTGCTAACCTTGGTCAGCCCAATAGAGCCGGGTGCCAGCATCCACTATTGTTAAACCAACAGGAACCTGGGATCTCTTCCAGAGTATCCTCCGCCTACTCCCATCCATAGAAGCACATTCTATCCTGGGATCAGGTGTGCCATGTTCACCAGCTAAATCCACAATGCACATAGATGCAGCTGGGGGATGCAATACCACGGTGGTTGGGTGGTAAAGACCATCACTAATTACCACATGTGTATATTTGCCTTCTGATGCTGCCACTTGGACAGATGGATGTTTATTGTCAATCCAATAGATGTTGGCACTCAACCAATCAAGTGCAAGTGATATCACAGTACCCTCAACTGGCAGAATCTTCTTCAAAGAAGCTCTTCCAGAATCCTTAATAGCCAGGACTTTTATGAAGCCATCATCAAACTCTGAGAAGTATAATGCAGCGCTGCGTATGGAGTAGTCTACAGCTGTCAGATGAGTAACATTGATCAAGGGGAGAGTGTTGTGCTCAGGAAGAGGCACCTGCCCAGCTGTGGAACGCAGTTTTTTCAGGTAGACCTAGAGTTCAATAGAAACAACATTTATTATAACTTCAGCTTACAAGTGGCCATATCATTAAGCAATCGACCCTAAGACAATTCTATCATAGCACAAGCCTAAGACCGTTGAAGCTGATACAGCTTTTGCTACCATTTATGATGCTAAATGAAAACGCTGTGTAACAGTTTCCATTTATCTCTGTAACATTTGATTACTGGGGCTAAACTATCACTTTCCAACAGAATTTCAATAACATGTAAAAAAAAAAATGACTAATCGACTAACTCACTCCTTTTGAGAAATGTAAAAAAAATATATTTCAGGAGAGCTCTGGACAAATTAAAATGTAGTCAACAGCTTTTACTTATTACTAAGGAAAATTCATGTGGAAACCCCTTTGTTGTGCCACCCAGTTAGAAGCTATGAGAACATTTCATTTGGACAACTGGGTTGCGGCTGTTCTGTTTATTATCCAGTTGAAAACAATACCTGTGTAACAGCTGTCTGTGCAGTCAGTAACATGAATGCTGACTCCTTTAATGGAATGCAGGTCTTTCCATCACTTGAAAGCACAAGTTCAAGTGGGCAAAAGCAGCTTCCTCTTCTGTTGGGGCTTAAGAGGCACAAATACGAACAGCCATTTCCTACACATGGATTAGGGGCTGCTGGCTGCAGAACTTCATGTATCACCTGAAAACCAAATTTCAAGAGTGTGAGAATGTTACACTAGGAGTTTCAGGGCATCTCTATTATGCATTTTATATGTTCCTCTTCAAAAAGTATTAAAAGGAATACACACTGTGCATATCATATCAATGGGACCTGTAAAGCTAGGCCAATTTGCACTAGGTTGATAAAACTAGTCAGATACTTTGGTCATCTAATGCGAAGAGAGGAGTCTTTGGAAAAGACCCTGATGCTGGGAAAAATTGAAGGCAAAAGGAGAAGAGGACGGCAGAGGATGAG